CTCCCGCATCCTGCGCGCACGCTGTTGCACTTTTTCTAATCGAGCCCCTTCAGGCGACCAGAAAGTCAACAGGCTGTCACGCAGGATTTGGTTGTTGGTTGCAATAAATAAAACAAATTAAATAATGCAAATCCCTTTTTTGTTGTGTGCGTCCGACTTCTAGCGAGACCCTTCAATTGCGGTCTTCGCCGGCCCCCGGTCTTAAGAATCTTTTATTTTGATTCGGAACAGTGGAGAATCATACAAATGATAATCATAAAATTCTAGAATGTCGTGCATGCATATTTTGCCAATTTTCTAGTTTTGAGAATGGTGACAGAATCATCAGACAAACGCGATCATCAGCAAGAACATTGCAAGAAGTAAGACTGACTGACTCAAGCAATGACAAGGTGAATGAGGGAAGAATGAGAACTCATAATAGTCTCGGAAAGTACACATGGAAGAGAGCGTGGCCAGCACTAGTCTCGAGTCCTCACTCATCCCTCTGGACCACACTCACAATCTCTCATTTAGTTGTCTGTTTCTTGTGCCTTCGGCCATGTCTCCGTACGCTCTGAGGTTGTGGTCTCTGAATGTAGAGCCACCTGAAACCTGCAAGCTCTGAACACTTCCATCCAAGTCCCATGATACGGAAATCAACCATAGCACAAAACTCCTCCCATAGTGTGGGAAGATACGGTTGAGAGAAGATTTCCCGTTTGAGATGTGGGAACTCGGAAGCCTCTGACACAGCCTCGTAATCGATCACGACAGGTGAAATGTACCTCTTTGCCAGATCCACCAGGTCACCCCAACATGAACCGTCTGTAAGAGTAAAGGGTACTGGAGGCCTGGGATAATCGGAGTAGAGCTTTGGCCCGAAGATGCGGATCAGCTTAGTACCGCTCTAGTCAAACTCTCTCTTTTTTTCTTCCAGGTACCTGGCTACTGCAGTCCAGACTGAGTCAAGGTGCTCATGAGACTCTTTGCCTTTCTTCAAGTAGGGCCTCAGGTCATGAATGGTACCACCAGAGAATGCAGTGTGAAACACATAGATGGATAGGTCTTCCTGCCTGAAGCTGACCGCACTGACATACCTGTGTTGAAAAGCATCTCTTGAGGCTACCCTGTTGAGACTGGCCAGTACCGTCTCTTGGACCGGGAATGATTGGATTGCACTCATGTGCGGATGCTGGATGATGAAATTAACTTCCCCTGCTCCTTAGCGTGAACAGTGTCTTGAATGCCTTGATGTTCAAATAGGGAAAAGGGTCCAACCATTCACAGATTTAGCTCTGACGACGATTTTCAAATAACTTCAGCGATTGAGTATTCGTTGAGT